CCCCCTTTCGTGTGCGTCCGTTCCGAGGGCTCCGCGTCTATCCAAATACGTGCGGCTAGGATTCTCAATTTCGCTCGATTTCTGTCTCACCGGCTAAGCTAGCGTCATCAGGTCAGCGCAACTCCGTTCGACTGGCAAGCGTTACAAGTCGTCATCGTAGGCGTGCTCCAACCGTGCTTTACGCAATTAGAACAGAGGCGTCCCCTTAATTATAACACAAACAAATATGGTCTCCTTACACCGTCAAATATGCTTGATGATAGCTATGGTTGTCCACTTTAGCAAAGCGTAAAAAGGTTGGGAAATTTTTGTTGAAAGAAGCATAAGAAAACGACAAATCCAGTGGACCTTTTGGGGTTCATACAGTAGAATCTACCTTGGAAAATCTGCATCGGAAATTGCGATCGTGCTGCGTCTTTTTCTTATCCGAGCTATAAGAATTGTCACCTGTGATTACTCTGTCTCAAAACTAAGGTATTTGAAGAAGTACCTTCGATCAGCAATGAAAAAAGCATGACCTTATGACTTCGTAGTTCCTTTCAGACATTGAGAAGTTGTCAGTGAACGGAAAGCTGTTAACATTCTCGGTACTTCTGCTGCCAGTAAAGTACAAAGGTGTGTTATTAAGTTGCGTACACGAGTACTGCAACCATACGAATACCTTCATTTACAACAATACACTAAAACTAGATCGTAGACTGCTGCTGTATGAAAAGAAATACTGCAGAGCTGTTGGTGCTAGTGAGAGTTTACGGATTTCCAACTGCTAGGGGGGAAATCTAATTACTACTCAAGGCGACAGAAGAACTTAATGCGAGAAGTAACCTTGAGGGAATGACATCGGTAGCGGCATCGGACACCACCCAGTGTCAAAACGCATCATTGAGCGAGGTGGAACAACATTCTTCCGTTAGCGATCCATTACTGTACATTAATGTGGAGGTCTTTAAACCATGCAGCGGTAACTGCGATGAGAGCAAATCGAAGCACTCATTGCCCCAACTTCAAGTGATATCGGAAGTGGAGTTATGTGATTCAGGTTGCCTTAGAAGTTTGCCCGATCACTTAGTTGTTACCGACGTATTAAACAACTTCAGTGAGCATGGCACGCCGGAGGATATCTGCCTCTATACGGATTCGGAGGTGCAACGTGAATCCATAGGTTTGGGCTTCTGAACCCCTCCGAAGATTCCCCACTTACTGTGAGACGGCCCACACCGGATCACAACTGGTGTAGCTCGGTGACATCTGACTGTCGTTAACAAGAAATCTTGTATTGCTTTGATGACCTGTGTTATCTTGCTGCTTGTGGTTGCACCGGTGGACCGCGAAGATTCGGCAAAAATCAGTTATGGTTCAGATAATAGTGAGCGTATGGTTTAATGACATGGAACAACCACCTAGGGTGCTACTTTCTGGTAATATAGTGAAAACTGCATTAACGCCTATTAAGCCTATAGCTGATGTGCTTGACACATGAGGAGTGAGGGACTTAAATTGTTTGGAGTATTAAAGATAATAAGCTTCACTTAAGCAAGATGGGGAAGTTATGGGTGCTAGAATGGCACAACCAGTGGATGGAGCGGCGTTAGGACGAACCACAGCGATAAAAAAACAGAGGATCAATGCCAGGAAAATCCTGTGGAATTGGGGTGCAGTGTAAGCCATAAATTTACCAAGCAATTCGCAGGATGGATGACACTAGCTAACTCTGGATTCCCATCAACTATTTGTTCACCCACCCTATGCCATATGGTTACTTGCCCTCCCGACCTTAGTGTTATGTAATCTACAAGTTGAATAACATAAGCTAATTCTTAACTCCTCTCATCTATCCGCTCACCCAGTTCATGTGCTATGGTTACGTGCCAACCGACATAACTATTATGGAATTAGCAAGCCGCATGTCGGGATCTCAGACTGGATGACCAAAGCAGATGCCTGCCCCAATTGATGAGCGCCAACTTACCGATTATCCCCCATGTGAACGCATATCAATGTTGCAATGACTTCACTTCATCTTTCCCTGTGGAGGCCGTTCGCGCACACTGTGCAACTCGTCCAGACTACCCCACCCACCCATACCCCTTACTTGAATCATCCTCCGGCTCCAGGGGTACGCCCTTCCATATTCCTCCAACCTCCATGGTTTAACTGAGCCAAGCCGCCCCAAGAGCCCAGCTAATCGGGTTTAGTTTCCCACACTGTATAGCAAACCAAAGAACCAAGGGTTAACGGACTTAATAAAAGAAAGGTCATAATCCGATCGTGCACTCGGTATCGTGTGACTTTTTATGTACCTTGGTAAGTATCAGTGGCACACATTATGAACGTTGTGAGAGTCGGTTTTTTCGGAACTGATCGGGCATGTTCGAGGTATGTGCCTATTGTATTTTAATTACTATTTGAATAGTACCGTAATTAACGTCTCGGCTTTCTTTCTTGGTTGAACTCGGGAATTCCTACGTGTCACTCGAGCCCCTCAAGCGAGTTCGTCGCTTACATCCCGCTCCCTGCATCCACAATCCCAATACTAATGAGGAACCTGAGATGATGAGACCGGCAGATGGGCTCAATAGCGGATTTGAAACGGACTCGAAAAGCTGCTCCAGTATAATTCGTCTACGTCTAAGGTTGTTCTCATTCGTTCCCCTAATAACACCAAATACAAACTCGGAAACCATGTCCTGCAAGCAGTCACCAGGGAGCGCGACCGTGGGGCTGATCTGGGCTACTCAGAACAGTCTGAAATACTTGAAACCAACAAGTTAACAGGCTGCGGGAAGGTATGGACCGTTTGAACCATCCGTCTTTCCATAGTTTCTAAACCCGTACGTGCAGCTTCACGTGGAATTCGTAATCCAGGCCTAAAAAGATCTGACGAAATAAAGTTCTGGTAGCGCTCCAGACTCCCCAGCGAAGAGCCGTCAAGCACGTCAAAGGGTTGTTTCACTTTTCATATCAATTTAGGCTGTTGCAACAAAGACTATGTAACGGTTGGTATCAGCGCTTAGGTAGAGACTTATTAATGGCCTATCAGGGTTTAAGGGACCCTAAAAACGTTGCTCGTCACCTACTGTAACACAGTCACAAAATGAATGTGAGGAGTCACCAATTCAAGCTGGGCACGCAATACAGTCGGCTAGAATGTCTGCGTAACCGCTTCAATCTTTGTGTCATCCATGTAAGACTCCCCAAATTACGTTGTTTTCACCCCCAACATTACCTGTGAAAAACCACACTGACGTTACCCTAACCCACCCACATTACCAAATATAGTATGTGTACATCGGGGGATGAGATAAAGTGGCGGACATTGCACTGCCTAGAGTAACCTATACAACCCAGACTGGCTCATTCTTGCACGCCTCTGTATGTAAACACTGTGGTGATTCCATCAAAACCATTTTCATTTTCAAGAGAGCAAGAAAGAACAGCATTTATGCGGAATAACCTGAATTCAGATTATTTCGTGTCTTCTCATTCAGCCACTTACAGACAAATCGTGGAAAGGGTAAAGGAATGCAATTAAAAAGGTGTCAATAGGAAAATCAACAAAACACTGAGCAAACTAAGCTCATTGCCTGCGTCTTACCAGGGAAGCCAAGACTGGCCACAAAGTTTGCAAAGGTTTAGTTTCAATCGTCGGATGGCCGAGGCTTCAGCGAAACGAAGCAAGCTCACGTTGTTTTGTCTGCTGATAACCTTGGATGCGTCACGTGTGTTTTCGCACAAGATAAAATCGAGCAGATGCTGAGCGATTGAGCTGACAGGGAGTTTAGGTCCACTATTTGCCAGGTTCCGTGGAACATGTTCCATGATCCTAGTTGATAGCATTCTCTCGGTTCGACCAATGTACAGGCTACTGCAAGCACAGGTGAATGGGTAACCACATGAGGCGGTAACCTGAGAGTGAGGCCCATCCAAGTTGGATTCATGGAACAGCTTCTTGGTTTGATGCAACAACACGAGCTCAGCTGCGTAGTAGCACCATTTTATGGCTTGGCGTAATCGGTAGCACAATCTTCTGTCGTTCTGTTCCCCTTTGTGTGGTAGCGTGATGAAGAACTTTTTCTTTGGGACATCCATTCGTGTCTCCTTCATAGCAATCTCATTCCCATATCTGGTGATGAATTTATTAGGATAGCCATTATTGTTTAGGTTAGATTCGATGTATCGTAATTCACCCTCGATCGACTCTTCAGAGCATACTCAGTGTACTCTAACAAAACAAGTTCGAACTATGGATCGTTTATAGTTCATAAGGACAGTAACTGTTGAAATGTAGGTATTGTCCGGTCCAGCTCGGTTTCCGATAAATCGATCTTATGAGTGAACTATCTGCTCTTCTTTTAAGTGAAACGTCAAGAAAATGACATGAATCCTCTGATTCACTTTCCATAGTGGACTTGATGTCTGTAAGCGGCTAAATGAGAAGACACGAAATAATCTGAATTCAAGTTCTCCCGCATAAATGCTGTCCGTTCTTGCTCGCTTGAAATTTCTGAAGGGAAATGGCTACATGAGATTCATTTTAGCGCAACGTATTCTGGCAAATCTACGAGATTTGTTAGGCTATTTCTTTTTTCTACTCGTATTACACCATTGTTCCAAAATCACTTTTCTGTTTGTTGATAGACGCTACGTCACCACAGACAGAAACTGCGATTCGCTGTGTGTCTTCAGAAAGTGTGCTATCTTTGTTTACACACGGGATGACACAAATGCATTTGGGACACGAATATCGAAACTTGGTAATCGAAGTTAACTGAGATACCGTGTTTAAAGCCGAAGGGTTAATGCAACCGATCTTTACGTGCTTGCTAAACTTGGTGTAGGGTCTTGGCGATGGAGCCGGACGTACCATTAACATGGAGTTGATTTCTCATCTCTATCCTTAATGTGTAATCAGCTATATCGATCTCATCCGTTTACAGTCGTCGGCATCAACAGATAAATGCTTCCCTGAGCGTTGATCGCCTCACTCTTCTTTTCTGATTGGGGGATCGTAAACGTCGCTGGCTGGCGTCCTTATGAAAAATTGGCTCTGTTTTCAATAGTGCGCGTTGTGGTTCGAAGCATAACTCATGGATCCGGCCTGCCATGGTGGGCACGTGTTTTGCTTGATAATGCATGGTCGCTTTTCACTACCAAATAGGCGAATTTATTCACACTGGCTTTCCTATCCTGCAGGTAACATGCTCTAACTCCGATTTGTATGCAGAAGCACTATTTCATAACCAATTCTGGGCGTTCATCCGACTACGTTTGGTGGTTGATATTTGCGGAGCAGCGAAAACCCTCTTATTGGCTAGTCTTTCATTAGTGATCTCTTAGTGAACGGAACCGTCTTTTCCACTTCAGAGACAATGGGCATTCAATGCTACCTAACAGACACTGAGAAAAATATTTATTATTGCTGTGGTAGTTGCGACATTTGCAGATCTGTATAACCATCAGATACCATGTGAGCCTTAAACCCTGAATTTGCTGAGTAGCTCGCCTTCATCTTGATACCAAACCTCGTGGGCTCATTTTCTCATTTTGTCTAGGTCCAATAACAAGTAAATTTCTCTCATTCACTATGATCATGTTTACCTAACTCAGTTTACCTGGTTGTTTATCCCCACCCTTAGGTTCTGGCTTTTCCAACACTTCACATCAGGTGTAATCGCAATCTCTCACAACTTGGTCTCCAAATCTCTTCCAATCAGATATTCCTGGGTTCCCATTGCGACACGAAATGCTATTCGTGGAAAGAGAAGTTCGTAGAGATTGCCCACTACGGCTCAGGGCAGTTGTCTCCTCTCTCGTCTGGATATGCCAACAACGTCTTCTGTACTTACTGCTGCGCTATTTCAACTCTTGTGACCCTGTTTTAGTGGGAGCTGAAATCGCCTCACGTGCCATATCCAGCTCAGTCGCTGTGGATCGGTGGTTGCATAATTCGCTGCACAATGTCCGATGGCCATCCAATCAGGGGCAGGAGTTGGTAAAGGGTTTGTGTATGCAATTGCGGTTCGACACGCGGTCTGCCACCATATTGCGAAAGTAAGTGTCCGATCATCACTAACTCAATGATTCTCATTCTATGGTGCGTTGATCTGTTTGCCAAAACTCGCCCATTATTCACATATTCAACTGCAATTTTCTTCTTTCACAGTTGTACTACTACGCTGGACCTGCGCTATTATCGGCTGGTTTCGAATGATTTGGTGATTTGTCTTACTGCCTGTTGGTCTTTCTTGACGGAGCTCAAATTAAATGGACATCACCATGGCCAGTTGTCCGTGCCCACAGTGACAGGATTACACTGTTTGTTTGTGCTTGCTTAATAATCTTTCAAAGGTTTACTTTTACCTTGTCAGTTTGTTACCCATCTCTCCTTTTTAAGATTTGTTTATCACGTTGTGTATTTGTCGTAGTTCATTAATCTGGTCACTTTCTGTGGTTACATCGAGGTGAATCGCTAGGACCTCAGTTGCTTTCGAAACTTCGACCATCGTTACACAGATGTTAAATGGTTAATAAGGGAATTCCTATGGTTTAATGTATGTGTTCACTGCTGTTGCTGACCTGTTCAACACTCAATGTACAGCATGCGGTGGTAGCACTTATACTTACTCAGTACTTGTTAGAACGCCCTCGCTTGAATACAGCGTCATTAGCTAGAACGACCACTCGGTTCTTGTGCCGTGTGTCACGCGGGCAAGTGGGTGCTCGATTTTGCATCGAATGGAGTCGGGTAAATTAGTCGGTCACAGTGTCGAGATCTACACGGACACCACACAAGTATTCGCGACCCCGGAAGAAAGAGACAATGACCTTCAGCAAAGCGCTAGCACCGCTCAAGCCAAAGGTTAACGCGGTCCGTACAGCCTGGGATCTATAGCGCAAGTGACGGCGTAGTTGCCAATTGATAATGGAAAGAAGGTGATTATCAGAGGGCGCAATCCCTACCATTGTATCACCGAGGAGATCATGCAATCGGTGGCGTGACAGCAGTGTCACTTGGGCACGTTAGAGATAAGTGCCATCTGATAACGCTGTCACGTAACAGTCCCACGGCAATAAGAATGGCCAACCTGGAGAACGGGAATGGCATCCGAGGCGAAGTTTTGTGAAACCATGAGGCGTTCACAACAACTTTCTCAGGAAGATTCGTGTTCTCGGTGTCGTCATAAGGGGAGTGCATTTCTTAAGTCCTCAGTGTTGCGCCTCGTCTGTGCAGAATGGTAAGTGTTTTAAAAGTTGCTGCTGATTTGCCACACTTCGCAGAGATTAGCAGCACATAGGTGCTCTCCTGGTTGGCCTAATAGTAGCAGAAATCGTGCCAGCTAGGGAACAAACTGGAAAAGTATCATTTTTGTCGGGGTGTGCTTGCTAATTACTGGGAGGCGGGGAAATGATTACCAAAAATATGACCAATCCCTGTTGAGACGATCAAACAAGTTCACTTCCACGTTATAGTTGAGCAATCAAAATCAAAACTCCGACTGGATCCGCGCTGCTACCCGAATGGCACGCACTTCAGCGATTTTCCTCCTTGCCTCACTGCACAAGTGCGCATGAAGGATATGACGCAAGATTTTTAATCAATGGAGAGTTGATTGCAGCAGCTTCTAAATCAAAACGTCTTCCATATGCCCGGTTTCGACCCCTTGGGCCTCGTCAGTAGTGCGCATCCATTGGCTTCATCGGGATCCGAACCCATGACGTCGAAGTGGCCAGTCAACTGCTTATGCCACCGGGCTATGGTGGACGGAGGCGGACCGGCATGAGTAAGCAAATTCCCCACCCACTCCACATCGTTTGTTTGCAGTTGAAATTGGGCTGCTGGCCAATTTCGCAGGGAAGCAACGTGAATAGCAATGCAGTGTGTCGTAGCGCGTGCCCAGGTAGTGTGTTAGATTTTCATTGGTTGAATCGTGGCGCCCTGATTTGCCAACTGTAAGGTGGAAGTGAACGTCATTTCCTTATCCCAATCACACGTGTTATCTCTAGGTTAGTCATATATTCATCTCGAGGCTGTGCCTATGCTCCATTGGTACTGAACCGTAAACGGCTGTACGATAATCAGGACAAGGCAAGGGCGCCCGTGCGAGCTACGGGAGCAAGACTGATGCATGAACATCGCAGCACAGAGTCCGGGATTTGTGCGAGCAAGCAGTACTAGTTGGACCCAATTACACGGTGGTCCCCGCCCCGATCACTTTTCATTGTTGCAACCGTTGATAGCCTCCTTTTTAGTGATAACCCCGGGTCCCTTTCCCCCGTTAGTAAATCATAATAAACGGTACATTCCTCGATAGTGCAAGATACAGACCAACCAAGAGTCCGAGCTATATGTACGTATTCTCAAGAAATTTATGTTCGCCACTGCTATGCATCTGAGGCGATGACTTCTCCATCTCTGTCTTTTGTTCAGTTCAACACATAAACTGTATCCACTGCTGATCAATTCAAGCAGAACATTGTTGTAATTAGTGACATATTGCTTGTTCACTACGAATGCCCGGTACCTTCGCAGTTTCACTCATATATGGTGGAAACATCGTGTGCGAAATGCGCGTGTTCAATGCCTTGTGTATGGTGCAGGAAGAAGAAGCGAACCGCTCAGCGCCGTTATTCCACGCTTTAGGTTGCGATGGCTGAGTCACCTGTTGCGCATGCCAGCCCACCGACTCTCGCAAGGTGCGTTATTTGCGTGCCGATGTTGCGGATGGAAGAAGAGGAGGGATGGTCAAGCGCTGACCTGGGCAAGAGGTGGGCCTCGGTTGGGGCCTCTCGACTCCCTGGTTGGGGACCAAAGGACGATGAGCATGTTTGGCTGGGTACACTTGTTGACATGGCTAAACGCCGACCTCAATTGCGTTCGTGTTGTGAGTTTGTTTGTCCCTGGTAACTCAGCCGTCGGGTCACTGTTAGCACTTTTTATAGCTGCGCAATAGCTGAGGTATGTTCCACCCGCAGCTAACATGTACAATGATGATGATAATAAAGAATGCCCGTTTTGCTGACTGTTTCACGGTTATTCCCATACATAGATCTAGAAAACCTTCGTTCACCCTTTTTGGATGGACTACAGGCGGTTTGTGATGAGAACATTTGTGATATCCTCGGTGAGTCCCGACTTAAACCAAATATCATAACTTTGAATACTCGCCAGGTGTAGCCGTAGTGCCACCAACCGAGGCACCGCAGCACCACATGGAAGATAGTCTGCTCGTGGATGAAAGCACGGTACCATATTATATCTGTCATGGTCTGAAGCAATACATAAGAGGAATGCCTATTAAATTCGGCTACAAACAATGGGTCATTGAAATGCCTCTAGGTTATGCCACTTATCTCTCTCGCTACCAATGAGCTAAAGCCAAATATTAGGTTGTTATGGGCTGAGTAAATATGGCCGCGAAGTAAAGGCCCTACCACATCTATTTTATCGGTTTTCCAATAGTATCCCTCAAGGAAGCCTTAGTCAATTAAAGTATAACAGCAACGGGAACAATTCGAGCAAATAGGATGTAAAGGTACCTCATCAACAAAAGGCCCAAGAAAATCTGGACAGAGCTACTTATGACTACAGGTTTGATAAACGAGATGACGTGTTCGTTTAGTCTTTCGACGAAATACAAAAAGCACATACCTATTGAATGACCTAGCATCGTTATCCATTATGATACCCCGATGGGAGCAGTGGATCAATTGGACTAAAATGTCGGTCAGTATAGAAGCAATGTTCAAAGCAAACAGTGGTAGTGATCGCTATTTGCTGTTCTACCGGAAGCTGCAATTGATAATGCTTGGATTTTGTTCAGAAAACCACCTGCATATAAACAATAGCAACACGACAAGCTTTCCTACAATCGTTCTGTCGTAAAAGTCTACTTGCAGGTGTACGTAGTAGAGAATAATGTCCACCAAAAGCTTTACACCCAGCAGAACATGCAAAAAGTTGAAGACAGCATTGTAAAATGTTGCTCTGGACATCATTTGAAACCTATGCCGAAACGAAGAAGATGCCGGCACTGTGGAAAAATGGCTAATCTTTTCTTCCCATTGTGTGATGTTTCAGTACACTTGGTCTGCTCTACGGTATACTACGTATGAATGAGACAAGGCATATTATGCGAATATAGAATCAGGTATTTTTAACTCGACCATCTGCTTGTAACGGTATCTCCCTTTCACATGATCACACAAAATCTGTAAGCAGTTGCCTATTTGCTCAGAAAAGACAGTTTTATGTTTTCACTTATATTCCGAAGTCATTTCTTACTAGACTCGTTCTACATCACAGGTAAGCTGGAAATTCCCATGAGCACCGTTAAGATGCTCTACCAACTGTGTGAGCTGCTTCTCGGACGGACAAAAAGCCAAAATATAATCACCATAACGTTTGTAATGCGGTTTCTGGGCGATTTCTGTCGATCTACATAGATCAACATCGATCTGTCGACCAACATTGATTTCTGTCCGATCAACAATATGAGGAATTCCGCGAGTACAGGTCCCAGTGATCTACCCATTGCTACGTCGTTGATATGGCATACGGCGTTTTCAAAAATGGAAATCAATTTCTTCCTTGCACAAAACAGTGAATCCCTTAGCAATTCAGTCGGATTTGTTAACAAACAGCCAGAGTTTATAACTAATTTCACCTACATTGTCCAATAATATCTGATGTAGTTGGACGTTGGTGAATAACGATCATACATCCAGGAAACACATGACTTTGTCTGACAAGCTTAGTTTATCCAAGTATTCATCAGTTAGAGTTTAGCTCAGCGTTCACAGTTGTGTTACGCTTCCTTAGATATGCTGATGCAGTCGCAATAAGCCACAAAATCTGTGCCTTCAAAAATGATTATTTGTCAGCCGTGGACATAGGTGGTGTGGACCTCCGTCTCTCCCTCTGCACCTTAAGCATATCTGGTCATACCCAATGTTAGCTATATCTAGGCATTGCGGTTATTGATAATTGTACTGAAGCGACAATAGGAAATGCTTGCATCTACCAGCGTTGGTCTCCTTTCCGCGCTTTTCATATTTCATGTTGCTGATGGCCTGTTTTAGAGTTTTGAATGCAGTGCGTTACATAGCAGCAGAGTGGTATTTTTTGGAACACACTCAGAGAAGTTCTATGGGTGGCTGCATGAGGCAGAAACGATTACGAATGGAGCAGTGGTAAGATTTTGCAAGTATGCCAACACGTCTAAACTGTTAGAGCTAGTACGGAAGTCAATATCTGATCTGATCTCTTCCTGTAGTTTCAAGACGCTTGCCGATGAGATACGAGAGTCAAAGTGACTTGCCTTATCCACACCAAACA